GGGATATGCTGGGACAGGAAGGATCCATCAGACCTGTCCTTCGATTCAGGCCAAAGGAAGGACGTATTTGTCAGCCGTATAGGAGGAGTCTTCAGTTTTGGACGTCCTTCGTCGCGGCGCTGTGACGTATGCGGCCGACGAATTCGACCTTCGGAGGACCCGTCCTGCTGTTTTGGACACAGCATAAGTTTCTATTCTCAGCAGGTTTCTAAGGTTCTTCTTCTACATATTAAAAAAGTTGTTAAACAACTGAGTGGCGCACTAACGCTTCTAGAGGTGAGAAAGTGTATTGCACCTTATTCAAAATCAACGCTGTCCCACGGCCCTCTGCGACCTAAAGTTAAAAACTGTTCTTTTGAGGCCCTCAAGATGGCGCTCACGGCCCACAATTGGGCCGCGGCCCATAGGTTAAGAATCTCAGAACTAGGAGATCAAATGTGGGGAAACTTCTTCAAAATAAAGGAGACATAATGCAAAAAAATCATTTTTTTTAGCTGTTAAATGCATTTTATTGTGGACTTGGAGTCTCTAGGAGTGCAGAAAAGTTGCATTTAGTTTCTCGTGGTGCTGCATAGATATCTTTATATTCTGTTTGAGTCAACCCGTGCAGTTTTCTTTATTTTCTATGATGTTTTCTGAACTATTAAGTCAAATTATGTGTGACAGATTTTGCAAATAAGGTCTGGACTTACCAACTACAAAACTTCTTTATGCATATTGGATGATACACATGCTTATTATATAATCAATAGGTGCCTCTCTGCTCTTTTAACCCCCCCCCCCCCCCCACCACAATGTTTTATAAACAGGTAAAAAGGACACCACAGTGCACTCTTTAGAGCTTTTATTAACGAAACACCAAAAAACAAGCAACAGGAGACAAAGCTGAAGTTGGTTTCTGATTGCAGTTTCTGATTCAGGAAATGGCTAAAGGGCGATTCACCTGTTTTTATCACTATTTTTATCACTACTTTGAGCATCTTTAATGAGTTCGCCTCCACCTCAGAAAGCATGTTGTGCTCCTGACCCCAGCTGAAAGATTTCAGTGTGAACAAGAGGGATTTAAAAGCACGACATGTCTACTTTAACTGAATAAACTAACGCTCTGTCCGTTTCTGTTCCCTCTCAGCTGAGTGTGGGGTCAGTTCAGGGTCCCACCTCTCAGAAACCAAACAAGAGGAACTTCCACGGCTGCGTAGAAAACCTGCTGTTTAATGACCTCAACCTGATTGAACTGGTTAAACTCAGAGACCACAGAGTTTCTGTCAGGGTAAGTACAAATAAATGTACTTATGTCTTTAAATGCTAAAAACAAAACAAGTCACTGTTTGCAACTGAGCAGAGACAAGATCTATTGTTCCTAAATAATCCTGAATCTTAATAKAGATTAGAAAGAACAAAAATTATGAAAGATAACTGAGAAAAAAGTGAGCTACTGATTTTTAAACGTGTCTATTTACAATCTGAAAACATAAACTCTGTGTTTGTCTATAAAATAATACAGAGATGTTTTAGAAATGTGTTATTTTCTTGAGAAATAAAGTGTCCAGCTTTTAAAACAGGCTTTGTTTAACATCTCTTTKGTGAAATAAATCATCATTAAAAACAGGAAGGGGCTGTTAATGCTCTTAAAATAAATTTAAAATAATAAAGTGGCTGCACATTCAAACTGCATCATGTATTGGGCTTGTAAAATCCATGCTTTAAACTGTATTTTTCTCATTTATAATCTTTAGCTTTTATTGGTCACTAMAATATTCATTGTCAATATTTTAGCTTTAATGACATCCTCTGAAATTCAGTCTTATTTTGAAAATCCTGCCTTCCCCTGTCAGACGAAGCACTTCATTTCTCGTGGTTTCTGTGATGCGAAGCAAARAGACGAGTTTAGTTTTGTTGGTAATAATCCTGTTAAAGCAGGACCYGCAGGAGCTTCAGCGGGGAAACGTTAAAAAGTTGAACTGAAGATGTTCGGAGTGGTCCTGCGGCTCCGAGGGAAATTTCTGCAAAGTTACGGYTGCAGTTATCACTTATGGCCTCTTATGGCTCTGTGAGGGAGAATAAAAACAGAGGGATCAGGTGTGGAGGAGGAACGGCTGCTGTGTTTGTCACAGTAAATTAGTAACTGGAACATGAGTTATTGTGGATCGCTTTAAGTGTCCTGCAGGCCGACTCTGCTCAGAGATGAAATAAATTCCAGCTGCAGCTTCAGTGTCATCATCACTAACAGTAAACCAACAGGTTGAGTTTTCTATTTATTTATTGTACCTTTTCTCCATTTACCATCAACTGAGTGACTTTGGTGTTTTCAGCAACTTCCTTATCTCCTGAGCTTTGCTGCTTTCATTATGTTAATACTGATGTCCTTTTTAAGGAGACTCGCTGATGAAATCACCGTGACATGAGGTCACATCAACACGCCCTCTGCTGCTGATTAATATTCATGTTTTCCGTCGTTTTATCTCTCCCGTAATCATTTTTCCACCTCTCTCTCTTTACGCTGCTCTTCCAGGGCAACGTGACCTTTTCCTGTCCCGAGCCCGTTTCTGTCGCCGTCACGTTCCCGGGCCCCCGGAGCCTCCTCCAGCTGCCGTGGGCGACGTCGTCGGYGTCGAGGGGCGTGTCCGTAGGGTTTCAGTTCAGGACGTGGAACGAGGCGGGGCTCCTGCTCACCTTTGACCTTCTGCTGCAAGGGGGCGTGGTCTGGTTGTACCTGAGCGAGGGCAGAATCCAGCTGCAGGTCCAGAAAGGAGGCAGGGTGCTGCTGGAGCTCAGCACAGGTCAGGAAATAATTTAAGTTAAAAAATGTAATCAGGATCTTTGTTTACGTCTCTAAAACCAAAAACTAAATGTTTGCAACATGTTAACTGGATGTTTTTCAGTATAAAACAATGACTTTTAGGCCAAATTAGTGTAAAGTTTAACATGTAAGTTTTTACTTTTTATGCAGAATGAATCTCAAACCTCTTATCATGTCTATATTATTTTACATATTATTTTATTTAAAACAAGAAAGTTTTTTGCAAAGTCAGCAAGTTGAAAGTTTCATTTAAAACATATGCACCRGTAAATATTTTCCTCCTTGCTTTTGTTTTTAACTAAATGTTAAACTTTAAGCTAAACTGAGGCAGCACAAGCATGCACAGTAGACCTGCACATGGATCCTGCTCCTTCCTGTCTGTTGTCCAATAGGAGAGGAGCTGACCCAAGAAGCCCCGCCCACTTTATTTGCATAATAAGGCAGAAATGCTTAAGGTAAAGCAAAAGCAACACATGGAAATGAAAAGACTTGTGGGAAAAATTATAAAAACCGAATTAAATATAATAATTTAAGAGACACAAATGCACGTGCAAGTAAAAGGAAAAACAAATATATATTTTTTTAAAAAGTAAAATGTAAATAATGTGCTAAAATATATAATTCAYTGGAACTAAGCTGGAAAAATAAATATGAAGGTCAATTTAATTATAAAACATAAGGTAAAGTCATCCTTTTTTAATTTAATTGGTGCATTTTAAGTGTATTTAGTGGTCCATTTATTTTTCTGCTTTTATTTCTAATTATGGCAGTTTCGGTCTTCCATAACAGTGTGGGTAGTTTTGGTGATCATGAAACWAATTAGCATTTTGCACACGTTTGAGCTGTTTTGAAACACTTTATTTTCATGCTTTTTCAGAAACATGAAGACTTTTGATGTGATGTGCATGAAAATGATCACACATGAATAGTTTTAAAATGTCCTTTTACTCACGTTACATTTGTTCTGTAACAGAAGTGAGATGGATGTCACATCATTGCAGCTGGAGCAGAACCGTTTTCGTGCCGCTGAGTGTAATTTATGCAGAAATGTCCATGGATCTGTTTGCYGATTACCACAGCAGACCGTGTGTGTGACACGTCTATTTGTCAGTAAAACGCACACGGTGAGGCTCGGTAAAACCACACAATCGTTGAGAAATGTCTCTTAATACCTGTTTTGGGGTTAAAAAGTGTGGCGCCAACAAACAGGTTGGAGGAAACAGTTGACATGTTTATCTAAGGAAGACAACTGCAGAACATTTACCCCGACAAAGTTAAYGATAACTTTATGCTAAAAATTAAATCTCATATCTAAATTGATCTCTGAGCTAAGCAAAGTTGATTTTTTCAAAATCAAACCGCTGCCACTAAAAAAATGTAGCAGCAGATAATGAAATATTGATCTGTTCCTAACAACGTAGAGATAAAAGCTGACACAGCCGTGTGTTTGTAACAAGTCAATCACATGGAGGATGGAGCTCACCTTCTGCTGCTGCGTTTACGATTGATTAGTGCAGCTATAGTTTTCCTTTAAATGTTCTTTTCACTGTGAATGACTTGAGTCTGAATAGAAATGTAGTCCTGATGGTTTGAGTGCAGATATTGAGTTTGTTGAGGTGCAGCCTTAATGATGATATGTAATATTATTCAGGGTTAGTGAGGAGGATTTGTCTGTCAGGTTCTGCTCTCAGTGACGGTCAGTGGCATTCGGTGGAGCTGAACWCCAGACGAGGTCGTTTGACGGTTTCTGTGGATGAAGAGGACGGAGGGAACGTTCAGGCCGGCCTGCCTTTTTCTGTCGCTGCAGAAACTCACCTCTTCTTTGGTGGTAAGAGGAAATATGGTCATTCATATTTAAACATCGAACATGTGTGAGGAAACTGCTGAAGAGGAAAAAGTTCATAATATTTATATWGTATATTTATAGTTTAAAACTTATATCAGCCTACCTCCTAAAATCAATTAAAAAGAGACGTGTGATGCTTTTAAATCCTTCTTTTTCACATTTAAATCCTTCACTTGGGGTCAATATAAAGTAAAACTACAATGCTTGGGTCTGAGTTCCTCCTGTGACTCCACAAGCCCCGCCCCTTTTCTGGGGTGTGTCTCATATTAACTCATTTTGAGGCTGTCTCTTTAAATCCAAACAAGGCACTTCCAACCCCGCCCCCTTCTAGCTTCCAAAATGGTTCGTTCTAGCTTGATAGAGGGGTTTATGACTATATAGCTGCGCAGAAACTTATTTACAATTTAATTAGAAGACGTCAACAAGGGAAGACTTCTCCATCCAGCCTCACTTGTTGGAGCCAGAGTCTGACCCAGAGCCAGAGTCTGAAGTCCACCAAATTATAGAAGGTAAAAATAGATCTTTGGTAGTTTCATTGCAAATAATTTGATGTAATAATCCAGAAAACATCATAGAAAATAGAGAAAACTGAACGCGTTGAAAAATATGACCCGAACAGAATATAAAGATATCTTTGCAGCACTGAGAGAGACTTCAACTTTTCTGCCTCCTAGGGACTCCAAGTCCACAACAATGGMTTTAACGGCTAAAAAAGTGGATTTTACATGATATGTCTCCTTTAAATAAACAAACACAAGTACTAAAATATATTGTTTTAATCCATTTCAGCCATTAATTTGAAATTCTTTATGTCTGGTCTGGAGTCCAGACTGCAGGCTGTAAGTCCAGACTTTATGTAGTAGTTCCATCGCAAATACCGTGATGTAATTATTCAGAAAACATTGTAGAAAATAATAAAAAAATACTAAATGAGAGACTAAATTCAACTTTTCTGCAGGAACTCCAAGTACACAACAAAATGCATTTAACAGCTAAAAAATTGAAATTTTCATGATATGTCCCCTTTAAACTTTTAATTTTAGTTTACAATTTTATGTGATTGATGACTAAGCATACTTGCTATTTTTGTCTTCTTTTGCTACTTTTTGCTTTCAACTAATCTTTTACTACTTTTATTTTTTAGCTTTTGTTTTGCTAGTTTTAGTTTTAGGTTTTGACTATTGGTATGCTACTTTTAGCTTCTCATAGCCTTCTGCTAATTGTAGTTTCTGGCTGGGATTTTGTTACTTTAGTTTTAGTGAGTTGAAACAACTGACGAACGTGTGGAGCAGAGGAGAAGGACTGAAGGAAACCGACAGATAAAACAGGGAGATGCTGACAAACTAAAAACAAGAAATGTTTGAATAAAAAGAAGAAAAAAATCACAATAACTGATTGTTTTCTCCTCAGGTTGTCCTGCTGAGGACGCTCAGGAATGTAGACGCAGCTTTAGCTCATTCCAGGGCTGCATGCGCACCTTCACTCTGGACAACAAAATCATGGACCTGATCTTGGTTCAACAAAAGCTGCTGGGGAACTACAGCAACCTGCTGATTGATATGTGTGGAATCATGGACAGGTCTGTTTATATAAAATAAAACTCTACTAAAAGATAAATTAATGGATGCAACTTTACAAAGCTTTTAGCTGGATCCACATTATGAGGTTGAATAAATGGTCATTTACTGATATTTTCTATGTGCTTACTATAATAATTTCGGTGCTAAACCACATAACAGACCTGATAAAACTCAAAAATTTAATTTAATCAAAACCAAMTTTAGAAATTAGGTGAAATGTGTAAAAAGAGTCGGAAAAACTGTTTTAAGTACAGCTTTTGGGGATCATCAGATTAGATTTTTTTTGTTTTCACATTGACCACTTTTTGTGCAATGAGGTCGATTTTAATTAATTTCATAAGGATTTCAACAAACACCCGACGCTGCTGCAGGAGGCACATTACAACCAGCAAGGACAGGTTTCTATTTGACTAAAAAATTCTAAAAGAAACAGTATTTCAACTCTCTGCATCATTTTTAGACTAAAACACAAACATCACATGGGTGTTTTTGAAGCTAGTTTTATGTCAAATCTGTGTTTTCTATTWGAAGTAGCATCTTTAGGGCACAGCCTTAACTATAAATGTCCTCCAATTTTAGTTTGTAGAAAAACTAAATAACAGTTATTTGGATCTTAAGTCCAACACCTTAACCACTCGGCCATCCTGGTGAACGTGTCTGTTCACGGTGAGACTACATCACACGTTTTAGGTTTGACGTCTTTATCCAGCTGTTCTAGTTATTTCCTAACCATTCCTCGTGACTGTTAAACGACTGAACCTGCTATTCCATAAGTGCATGAATCCCATCTTGTTTCCTCCAGAAGTAGTTTTATTTAACCTTGAACTTAACCTGTGCCTGAGCCAAGAAACTAATGGTTTTATCCACAGTTCAACMATTAGCATATTTTCCCCCTTTATTTATCAGGGTTCTAAACCTATCTGTTGTGTACATTCAGAAATCCAAGTTAKATTAAAATCTGGAGACCACAAAGCCCAGAACATATCCATATATCATATGTAAACTTAGCACAACATATAAGGAAATGTGTGTTTGGTAGATTATTTCTTTGTTTTAACAATGCTTCTTGATAATACGTCTTATACCGTTGGGAAGCCTTTTCTTTTCCCTTTTAAATAGTGCCACMTTTGTAAGGAACATGGGTTGTGTTTCTGCCACCCCCAGGTGCTGCTWTAAGATTTATTACCAAGAAGCATTGTTACAAATAAATAATCTACCAAACACAAATTTACTTAATTTTGGTGCTAAGTATATTGTTCTGATCAAGCTACTTTAAACCTCTTTTTGCATTGATTGTCCACACATTTAAAGCTTTAACGAACACATTTTAATGATAGTTTAGACATTTTTTTAATCTACAGCAGGGTTTGAACCCAGAAAGGTTTTGCTTTATGGATTGTCCCATTTTTTTGTTATTTTGATACAAACAGAAGCAGGTGAGGTTAAACGTGTGATACAGACCAGGGGGGCGGAGCCGGAGGGGTGGCCTGGGTGCCACCTCTGGCACCTGATTGGCCACCCCAGGTGCCACCCCCAAAGTGGGTTGGGGATCTTGGATTTTTTTTTATTTGCATTTAGATTTTGCTAAAGATTGTTCTGTGATACTACGTCCAGAATTCTTTTTTGGCTTTGCATGTTTAAAAATGGCTGAATTATAACGCTTTGTAAAATAAGCATTAGCCATTAGCTTTATTTAGMATTAGCCGTTAGCTTTGATGATTGGCACGTGATAATTTATTGCTACTCCACAATGAATTTAATCTCAGTAAGTTATAAAACTTAGTTTGAATTTTAGCCTTTTAAAGCTAGCCGGGGTGGCCATCTTAATTGTTTTCATTAGCATTTAGAATTTGTTTTTGGCTACTCCTAAACTAATCTTTAGGTTCATATAAATTAGCTGTGTCGGCCATCTTGAATTTTAAAACCCAGAGGGTTTTTTTTGTGTGGCCCCCTAAAAACCACCTTGGTCACCCCTTGCAAAAAAAAAGTCTTGCTCCGCCCCTGATACAGACAATCCTAGAAGCAGTTCTAGACTGTGAATACACRTAGACCCGGAACCAGAAACAGCCAATGTTGACTAGTTCTAGTGCACTTTCTGACATGTTTAGGTATGACTAGTTAGTTCAAGCTTAGGTCATGTGACACCATGTATGTGTGCAGGGCAGTAGGTGTGATTGGGAAGTGCTTGATCCAAACCGAAGTAGAAATATTACATTTTGCAGCTGTCAGCTGGTAATTAGCCCATGCAAGTTTGTATCKTCTACCTCTGGAGGGATATTTTCCATTTTCCGTGACTCCTGCATGGCTCAATAGTACTTTATATGATCTGTGACAGTTCAGACTCAGCTCCAGTCTCAGGAGAAAAAAAGGGGGGAGCAGATAGGTGGAGGGGAGGGGAGGGGGAGCAGAACTAATCGTTTTTCTGTTTTGGCGTCACACCAAATAGCGGCACGATTAATGAGACAATTACAGCAATTATAAATCCGCCTCCAGAGCCCAAGAGGCAACGAGACAGTCACGCAAAAAAAAAAAAAAAAAATCAGAGGCACACGCTCACACACCACAACACGCAGCACGTAAACGTGCACAGACACGAGCATTGAGCAAACCACAAATCCTCTCCAGATAAGGAGAAACTGCTTGAATGATTTTAATTAAATGTCGCTCTGCTTCTGCATCACTGTTCAGCAGACTACAGTACCTCCAAAGATCTGACTTATCACTTGAAACAAACAAAATAAAAAAAAAATAACAGGAAAAAACAGATAAAAAGCTTAGAGTGTTACTGGCTGATTGAATATTGGCCTTGTGGGATATTTTGTGCAGTAAAGTCAGCTGGAAAATGGACTCACGGACACTGCTGCAACATACAGCTCATATTTCTGAGCAGGATCTCTGCTTTTTATAAGTGTTGGAGCRCTGCTGCAAACAGCAAAGGGGATTATTAGCCAAAGCAAACACTCCATTAGCAGYACAAATTGAGTGCAGTCCACAGGGAGCTCTACATCAGCTCTGCGCCGAACAATCCTATAACTTCTGCTTTTTCCAGCTCGACACACAGCCGAAGAAAATCAGAAGAAAGGCACGTAGATCCTAAAATGGTCATTTCTGGCTAAAATGTCACTTTAGAGCAGTGGTTCTCAAACTATTTTCCTCAAATACCCACTTCTTCCAATCCCCCACCTCTACTAAAGGCACATTCAACTTTATCTCTTTGTCAACATAAAGTGAATAGTTACAAGCTTTTATTTTGAAAAAGAAAAAAAGGGTCACACATGTTTTGATTCTTCAAATGGACTTGTTTTGCTGATACTTATTTACAAAATGTAAATTGATATTTTCACAATGTCTGAGCAACTGTTGTTCATAACCCTGCATTTCTGTTAGCAAAATATCTAAAACTGTATTTGTTTAAAGTCAGAAACTGTACTGTTTTTGCCCACCGGTGGAATGTTACAAAGTTAAATCTGTCTGAACTCATCATGTAAGGAGTTGTTTTTGCACTTTAACACAATTAATTTACTCAAACCAAGTCATGTCACCTGGTTCARCCAAACCTAGTGTGAAACAATATACGTATTTCCTTTAAAAGATATGTATATTACTCAATTTACTTAACTTGGTTTATTTCTTAGAGAGTGTGTAAAAGTATTTTTACTTTCCCAAATTTTGTCAACAGTTTTGACTTTTACGTAAGTACTATTATGGAGTMTTTTCATTTTAATTTAAAACGATAAACCAGTCACCAAATACATCTGTCATTTTTTAAACATAAGATTATCATAATTTAAATCTTAGTTAAAGTGAAAACTTTTCATTTAAATGTATTGTTATAAAATTAGCTGCTGTAGTTGACATGTTTTATGGTCTCCAGAATTTTTTAAATCTAAAATCTTGTTTTTTTCTGTTTCTGTTCTGTTTTCCTTGCCTCTCTTCGACCTTCTGCTTCTCATCACATCTTTTATTTATTCTGTTCTTTTGAACGTATCGCTGCTGTTTTTTTGTTACAAACGTGTGTCAGTTTGTGTCTACAGGCCAAACTGAAGACGTGAGTGGGTTTTCTCCTTAAGACCAGTTTAGTGTGATTTTTCTCGGTGTGTAAATTAGTCATTTGGCTCACGGCCGGCTGCGGGGCACTGGGCTGATAGAGGCTGATTTAGTGCATGAAGAGCTGCTTCCTCTCTGCCTGAGGGACAACAGTGAAWATTATGGATGCTCCTGTTGTTTCAGGTGAGCTTGTTTGCAGGCAGACAGGTCGTCCATCTGTGGTTATCTGACTGTCCTGCTGCACCTTTTTTCACTGGAATCTGTCGGAAACACTCGGTGAACTATTTCCCTGACAGACTGTGTGTGGGTATCGTGARTAAAAGTGTACTTAAATGGAAAATGGATGAATTAGAAAATAAAGATTTCAAAATAAAAGTTAATTTTTTTCTAGTTTCCTTAATCCTCCTTAGGCAAAGTATGTCTTTATGGAAAAACTCCAAACATATCTTTATTTTTACATATTACACATTACATACATTATACATACATTATACATATACATACATTAGGTATAAAGGCATACATAGGTATACATTACCTCCGCCAAGGGGGGAGGTAATGTTTACGGTCGCGTATGTCTGTCTGTCTGTCTGTGGTCAAAATTACTCAAAAACTTATGGACAGATATTCATGAAATTTTCAACACAAGTGGGTTTTGGCCAAGGGAACACACCGRTAAATTTTGGTGATGATCCAGATCACGATCCGGACCCGGGAACAGCCAATCAGCTTCAAGGAAGCTGACCGTAGACTTCCAATCACATCTGATTTTTCGTAGACAGGTCACCCCCCCGACTGTAGACATCCAATGGGATTGTCTGAAGCGGTGTAGAMGACCAATCACACGAAGGCGCATGTAAATAAAACTTTACAAAGAATTGTTTTTAAATCGAAAAACTTACTGTTTGAAGTTACTTTAATGTAACAACAGATCATTTTCATAATACGTCGGCCTGCGCGTCCTAACAATTTAGTATTTTGTGTTTACATTTTTGGAGTTTTTCCCCCCACCTGTATCGGAAAAGTAAGCTAGCTAACTCACCAAACCCCGTTCAAGTCTGTTATCCAATAGATAACACTAAAGTTTTCTTTAAAAATTACGTTTATTCTGTTTTTTTTATGGCTAAATATTTTTCTTTTTTCAGTTGCTGTTCCACTCCTTCTATTGCATGTAATTTATTATGTGTTTAGTCATTGTAAAGCACTTGTACACTAACACACACATGACAAAAAATGTAATAAATCACACACAAAACAAACACACACACTCACACACAAACATATGGCCTTGGCGGAGGTTTGCGCTCTCCGAGTGCTTCTAGTACTATCATTAGTTCAGGATCATATCCCTGTAGTTTACATAAAGAATAAAAAATAAAAGTAGCTTTTGCTTCATATTTTGATTTGACAAGATTTTTGTTTAAAAAAGTACCTTTTAAGATGCTACTTTTAGTTTTATTAAATAATTTAACAAATTGCTTGTCCTTGTTTTAAAAGCCAGGGTTTTTCAAATGTTCTATTTTTATATAAAGATTTGTCATTTCAACATCCACAATAACAAAAATAAAACAGTGAAGACTTTGGGTTTTATTTCTCAGACAAATGGAACAAAAATAGTTTCCTCTAAATATATAAAGGTGAATATTTGCTACACTTCGTCTGACCTTCCTAAAAACATTTGGAAATGAAGTGAACAACATGCTGGACTAAAGATAAAATTAAATCTCTTTTAATAATTAGATGAAAATGTAACAAACTCATTCAGGAAATTCCAAGCATACTAACATTTTAGGAGAGATTTTAGAGAATAAACAACTCTAAAAGGTTCAGATCAGGCAGTCTCATCATCCTGCTCACGTGTTCATAAGTGACTCCTAAAAACATAAAATATGATTCAGTTTCATGTAAACAAAACAAAGTTTACGTCTCGAGAGTAAACAGATGAAAGGTGATTTTTGGCTCGGACTGAGCACCGTTTGGCAGCAAAATCCCGCAGAGTTTCTTCCAAGTGTCCACCGTGCCAAAACCAWCAGTCAGAAAACAGGGAAATTTATTTGTTCTCCACATGCAAACACAACAAACTGAAGCTTTTCCTCGCGTCTGTTYCAGGTGTTCTCCCAGTCGCTGTGAACACGGCGGCCGCTGCACTCAGTCCTGGACCACGTTTCACTGCAACTGTTCTGACAGCGGCTACAGCGGAGCCACGTGCCACAGCTGTGAGTCACCACAGAAACACAGAAACTGACAGAATGAGCTCAGGTTGTGTCATTAGCATCATATTTTACCTGTCATACTGCTGAGTAATGCTGTGAATGCTGGGTCAGAAAGCAGTACTGTTTTATTTACTTCTTTATTTAACACTAACAACCCCTGYGCTTTCAGCTGTTTTAGCCATTCATAACATTCAGCTTATTCAGGAAATGTGTGTGTTAATGCYGTTAATGCTGTTAATGCTTGCTGTTTGCATCATTTATGGTTTTTRAAATCTTGATCTTTATTTACACATATTTTCCCCATAAAAGTACATTTGAGGTCTTTGTGATTGCTCATTATTTTTCTATTTAATTTTGTTGAATGTATTACCTCTAATTTGGTTTTCTTTTGTTACATTTAGCTAGCCTTTTGTTGCTTTAAAGGTTTTAGTTAGCCTCTTACCTTCAGCTAGCCTTTTGTTACTTTGAGGTTGAATTTAACGTCTAGCTTTCAGATAGCCTTTTGCTGTTTTGAGGTTTTAGTTAGCCTCCTATTTTCAGCTAGCCTTTTGCTGTTTTGAGGTCTTAGTTAGCCTTTTGCTGTTTTGAGGTCTTAGTTAGCCTTTTGCTGTTTTGAGGTCTTAATTAGCCTTTTGCTGTTTTGAGGTCTTAGTTAGCATTTTGCTGTTTTGAGGTCTTAGTTAGCCTTTTGCTGTTTTGAGGTCTTAGTTAGCCTTTTGCTGTTTTGAGGTCTTAGTTAGCCTTTTGCTGTTTTGAGGTCTTAGTTAGCCTCCCATTTTCAGCTAGCCTTTTTGCTGTTATGAGGTTTTAGCCAGCCCTTTGTTTAATTTTTGCCTTTTAGCTAACATTTGTTGCTAGCTATTTTGATAGCTATTTTGCTTGTTTTAGTTTTCACTTAGGGTTGTACTTATTTTTGGTTCATCACCTTACTTTTAGCTTCTCCAAACTTTTGTCTTTATTCTGTCAAACCTGCTGCAGATTTGAAACAGTTTTTCATTTAGAAACAKGATTTAAAATAACTTTCAAACTTTTGTTATCACTAAAAGAAGACTTCGGCCTGTTTGAAGCATGAGGCAAATAAAAGAAAAAGAAAAAAAAAACACATAAAAAAACTCCTCTTTCGGTTCARACTCACATTCAGTCCTAAAAAGTGAAAAGTGGAGAGTTTCTGTTTATCTGTCAACGCTGAGGGAACACGATGAACGTCGGGCCTTTCTGCCTCAGAGAAAAGAGATAAAAAGATTAGGAAGGTGTGTCAGCTTTAAGATAAAGATTTGATCGGCTCAGAGCACAGGGCAAGGAGACCTCTTGAGGAAGATGAGGGGTTGATGAAGGTCTGATAAAGTTTTATTTATTGAGCTTGTGTTCACATCAGTCAATATTGTTTTTATTTGGTTTAGGAGTTTATCAAGGCTGCATCACAATAAATCCTCTGCTTAGTTTCCACTGTTGTGATTAAAATATATTTGTTTGTTGATGATTCATAAAAAAATCCTCCACGGTGAGGCATCAGCTCCTGGTTCTTCTCCTCCCAGCTGTGTACAAACAGTCCTGCGAGGCGTACAAACACAACGGCAACACGTCAGGACATTTTTATATCGATGTGGACGGCAGCGGAGCGATCAGACCCCAGCTGGTCTACTGCAACATGACAGGTGACAACACACACACACACACACACACACACACACACACACACACACACACACACACACACACACACATTAGAGTTTACAGATTTCGAAATGATGATGCTTTACTCAGACTCCTCCCTTATAGAAACACTTTGTATCTCCTGGTGTTTTATCATCTTCATTATGACGTTTCAGCAGTTCGGCATTTTTCTCCTCATTACCAGCGGTGGGCAGCGCTAATCCAAAGATTAGCTCCGCAATTTCCAAAGCACTTACGAAAATATTTAGGTCCGCAACTTCAAAAGCACTTATACCGTAGAAAAAACTAGCGGAAGCTAATTTTAAAGCACAAAATAAATTTGACACTTACTAGCTGGCAACAATTCATGTACAATATATGTACAACACTGCCAACTAGTGGTGTATGAACCCATGTACAGCTTGATCCTACAACTAGTGAGTGCTGGGGATGTGAGTTCTTGAAACAGACCTTTAGCTCCTGGTGTAAAAATTAAAAACTTGTTGAGGATTGCTAGTTAGGCTGCTTCTAAAAAGTTGTTGAGGATTGCTAGTTCGGCTGCTTCTTTGTCTTTTTCTTTTGTTTGTTGTCGATTTTTCATTAAAGAAGCATCAATAAAGTAAATTTAAAACTGTTTATTGGGAAACTGAAGCGATGCATTCTGGGTACATGACAGATTTGATTTGTGACGGGAAACGAAAGCACAGAGTACAGGAAAATATCTGCAAACTTCAAAATAAGAGCTTGGATTTTAAAGTTTTCCATGTAGTTGCTCCAGTTGACCACAAGATGTCAGTCTTCATCAGCATAACATCTTTAAATCATGTCTGAGTTCGATTGTATTGAGCTCCAGCGTTTAAACTTTTTTTAAAAGGAGCTCTGATAATAAAGTAAAATAAATCAATACATACAAAATTTTAGTAAGGATTACAAATGTTAACTGTTTTTGCTATTGCCTTCCTGCTACGTAAGCAGACACAAAGCATTGTGGGAAATGAGAACCGTGACCCAAAGCAACAGTCCGCAAGGATGTATACTTTTACAATAAGTGTATTTATCTGGGAGGGGTGCTGTTGGATAGATCACATGTGTTGTGATTCATTGACAGCCATACCTGCTGCTATTCAAGATAATGATGACGGGTAGATAATTAATTATTAGCGGTACTGCATTTTAATTTTAGAAGGCGCAAATCCACTTATGAATTATAAAAATTAGTGAAACCGCTAAAGCGCAAACAAAATATTTAGGTCCACAATTAGCGGATTTGCACTTTAGCGGGCTGGTGCCCACCACTGCTCATTACAGTCAACATCACTCAATTATCAGCAGCAGCTACTCACTGCTTTATATCGTGCTGTAAATCTGAACAGCAGTCTTCCTCTTTGGCTCCTCCCTTCTGAACGCAACTTTAAAAAAGTCTAATTTCCTGTCCACAGAGCACAACACCTGGATGATAATCCAGCACAACAACACGGAGCTGACCAGAGTTCGACCGTCTCCCGGCGTCGACCAGCTTTCGGTCCACTTCAACTACTCATCAGCAGAACAGCAGCTCTCGGCT